GGAGGAGGAGGACGAGGAACAGGAATTGAGGAGGACGACGGCGGCCGGGCGCAGGGGTAGCCCCTTGCGTCCGGGCCGGGGGTGGTAACCCATCCTCGGCCGAATCGGGGGCAGGGGTAACCCCTTGTCTCCGGGCCGCCGGTGGTAACCCATCGGCGGCCGAATCGGGCGCAGGGGTAGCCCTTTGCGTCCGGGCCGGAGGTGGTAACCCATCCTCGGCCGAATCGGGAGCATCGGCAGCATCGGCCTCTTAGCGGACCCCAACGAGCTCCTGGAAGACGACTCGTACAAGTACAAGGAGCCGCCGACGTTGGAGATTCAGCACGCCATCAACGTCTTCAAGCACATCCCCTGCGTCTTCGAGCTGAAAGGCACGAAGCGCTTCGAGCCGGGGGACCCTCTGATCACGCTCTTGGGCTGCATGCGCGAGGGCAAGCGCTTCCCACCAGAGGTCTGGTCTGCCTGGGAGAAGACATTGGCCTCGGACAACCACGACGTCCTGGACCCTCGGCACCAGCACGAGAACTTTCGGCTCGGTTACGTCATGGGCATCTACTGGGAGACGCTGGCGAGCTGGATCAACACGCGCGCTCGTCGCGACGCGCGGCGCCTCGGCGTCCCCCTCGTTTTCTTGCAGGCCGCAGACGAGTGCGGCACGATTCAAGGCGACCCAGACGCAGGCCGGCGCCTCTTGAACGTTCCGAGCATGCACAAGACCGGGGACATCCACGGCGTCTTACCGGCACACGTCGGCATGGAGGCCCGGTTCACGGCCGCGCAGGAGGAGTTGAAGAAGAAGTTGGGGCTCGTGCAGGAGCAACGGGCCACCATCGTGTCCTTCAAGTTTCACGCAGACGACGAGCGGGACTACGAGGAGCGCGCGCCGGGCCAGCTCTTCCGCCCCCGCTACCTACCGCAGGGGATCTGGCTGCAGGTGCACGGCTTCCAGGAGCCCCCGATCTACAAGGAGGTCGCCGAGGTGCTGCAGCAGCGCGCCGATGGCGCTGGCGACGACGGCGAGGCCGGCGCGGGCGAGGAGCTTGCTCATGTTCAGGCCCAGCGAGCATGAGCTCACGCGGCAGAGCTCGGGGGCGCACACTGCGCGCCGCTCGGGGTTCACGCTGACGAACGCGCCCTACCTGACCTCCACGCTGTCGCAGGGCCAGACGCTGCGCAAGGGCGTCACCATCGACTTCGCCAGGGATGAGGACGCTGGCCGCGCGGGCATGTCGGACGAGCAGCGGTGGCTGCACCTCTACGTCATGTTCTCCCGCGCCACGTGCGTGCGGAACATGCTGATCCTGCGGCCGCCCGCGCGGGAGTTCCTGGAGCGCGGGCTGCCGGCGCCCCTGCGGAAGGCGCTCCAGGAGCTCGACAAGAGAGCGGTGGGCTCCAGGGCCGAGGCGGAGCAGCTCGCGGCAAAGCAGGGCTTCGCGCTGCCTCCCGCCTGAGCGCGGCCGCGATTAGCTCGGTGCCTGCGGGGTTGTCCCAACGGCTTGCTCTCGCGCCTCAGCGGCTCGCGGGGTTGCCCCAACGGCTTCGCGATCTAGCCGTCGGCAAACGCGCGCCTGATTGCCGCGGCGGCGAGGGCGCCGAGGAACATCGATGTGGTTGCCCCGACCAGGGGGGGCGGGGAGGTGCACATGGAGAAGAGGCAGGCGGAGGATGAGGAGGAGGGAAGGGGTATGTGGAGAGGGCGATGATGAAGAGGTGGAGGAGGAGGAGGAGGAGGAGGAGGAGGAGGAGGAGGAGGGGAAGGGTGATGATAAATAGAAGGAGGAGGAGAGGGAAGAGCAGAGGGCGAGAGGAGAGTGTCCGCCAGAGAAAGGATGGAAGGGCTAAGGGGAAGCGAAACAGATTCTCATGCGGGGTCCTACCGTCGGAGTAATTGTCATTCGGGTTATTATACGTATACGTATTAAGCTTCTTCTTCTTCTTCCTTCAGCGCGCCCCCCGCCCCCAACCCGTTCTGCGCACGTTCCTCTGTCCACGGTGCCCCCTCCGCCCCCTCCTCCCGGCCCCCTTTCAACCAGACCACCCCATTGGATAAATTGGCTGCACGCTACAGTCAAGACGTTGAAATACGGACCGTTTTGGACTCAGGAGGGGCTCGGGTTTCCGGGCCGTTTCTTGCTTATCTGTCATGGAACCTCTGTGTGGCCCAGGCCCGCCGTGGCCAGAAAAGCCTCTTCGCTCCTTCTCGTGCATTCCCGGTGGTAGCACGCTGACGCTTTTGCAGACACAGGCTGGGGGAACGTCTGGGGAAAAAATGCGTTTTACCATCAACGGAAAACAGGCTGATCTGAGGCGCTGCGGCGCCGACCGCCCCATCCGGCACTGGAACGGGCTCCGCCCGCAGATGACTGTCTCCCCAGACATGCGACGTTTTGTTTTCGGTCAGTACAAGGCCCCTGGACGTCCCGACCCTCTCCCCATGGGGCCGGCTTGTCATCGCGAGTGGTTTTGTTGACAGTCTTTGGGCCCGGCGAGGGCCCTTGGAGGCCGAAAGCGACAATAAAACGGCCGTCTTGACGTTGATCAGGAAGCGAGCATGTTTGGGTCTCTCTCTCTCTCTCTTTGTATTTCTCCCTCTGGTGCACCCCAGAAGTCAACCACGCGCAGAGGAGGGCATGGGGTAGGGGGGAAGGCTTCTTAGAAGGAGGCTACGTCTTCGAAGGTGCGGGCCTTGTCTATAGATGTAGGACCGGCGCCTTCTACGAAGCAGGCTCCTTCAAAGAAGCCTTCCCCCCTCCCCCTGGACCCCCTGTTGCGCGCCGCCAAGAAGGACAAGTGCCACGCCAACCTGAAGGCCCACCTCCCCTGGGCCGCCCTGCGGGACCTGGCGGCCCAGGACGGGCGGGTGCCGCCCACGGACGAAGGCCCGTTCTCCCCCCTGCAGTCCCCGGAGCTGTGCGACGTGCCCGGTCACGGCCAGGCGCGCAACTGGACGCGGGCAGAGAGAGCTCTGGCGCGGGAGTGGTTCCGCCGACGGCCAACGCGCGCGCGCGCGCGAGCCTCCCGAGCGGGCCTGCCGGCTGCTCGGCCCGTGTGCCGGGCGCGGGGGGGCCATGGGTCCACCCGCCAGGCAGCGCGCAGTGCTCACACGCTGGGCGCGTGCGAGCGAGAGCGCGGCGGGGGCTCTCCCCGCGTTCGGCCTCGCAGGGGCCCCCGCCCGGCCCCGGGACAGTCGCACAGCTGCCGGGACAGTCGCACAGCTGCCCCAGGACAGACAACAAACATTATCCCGGCAAAGCAACCTAACAGCGATGTGTAAAAGCATAGCTGGAAGCATCGCCTATGGTATTCATGTAGGAGTGCTGGTGTAGAATTTGTTTTGTTCTAGCACCGCGAGAAGCCGAGGCTGCGGACGAATCTCGGTCTTCCCTCGCAGACTGAGAAGCACCGCGAGAAGCCCAGGCTGCGGACGTGTGTCGCGGCGAGCCGAGGGCCATTGCAATGCGGCCGGCGAGGGCCACCAGGGAGGCACGTTTTGAACCAAACGCGGCTAACAGAGGCAAAGGACAAGTAGGTTGCCAGTAAAAGGGCCCGGGAGCTTCCAACGACTCTCTGCTATCAGTGGATGAACCTCCGAACGAGACACTGCTGTGAGACCACAGGCGCCTGATGATGACGATCTTGAGAGTGCTGCTGCTGCTTCGAGGAGGGAAAGAAAGAAGGAGAGAGAGAGATGGGATCGAGAGCTCCCGGAGGGGGGGATGTGCCCATCCGAGGGAACGGTGCACCCCCCCCCCCCTCAGTACTGGCGACGAGGATCAAGCTGTTTAGGGAAAGAAGAAGACCCCCCCGCCCCCTATCCTCCCCCGCGGCCTGAGTGGACCACCCAGGCCTGCGGAGGACATCATAAAGGGTCGGGTACCCCGTACAGAAATGAAGGGAGAAAGGGGAGGGAGGAAAGAGTAAGGAGCCTCCCTCGTCCTGCTCCTCCTGCTCCTCCTACTACTGCTATTACAAGTATTAGATTCTGGCGGCAACGTCCAGTGCACGATGACGCCTGGGTCCGCCGTCCTGCCCTGCACGATGACGACACAGAACAAACCGGGAATCGGGCGGCGAGAGATCTGACGGAGACATCCAGTAAGCAAAATGTGGCCCGGGAATGGAGTTCTGGGAATTCGAAGGCCACGAAGTGGCCTACAGTTGGCTCCGGGCACCCAAAATGTAGCCCGAGAATGGAGTTCTGGAAACTCGAAGACCACGAAGTGGCCCACAGTTGGCTCCGGGCATCCAAAATGTGGCCCGGGAGTGGAGTTCTGGGAACTCGAAGACCACGAAGTGGCCTACAGCTGGCTCCGGGCATCCAAAATGTACGCCAGGAATCGAGTTTCGGGAAGTCGAAGGGCACGAAGTGGCTTACAGTTGGCTCCGGGCATCCAAAATGTACGCCGGGAATGGAGTTCTAGCAGCGCCAAGAGCGATTTTGCGAGGATGTCCCAGGCGATTTGGGCTTCGGCGGCAGCCGCCCCGGGTCCCGCCCCGACCCCCCTGAGGAGTCATGATGCTTTCTTTTGACCCCACTAGAAACCTATTAGTTTTCGCTGTTAGGTAAAAATTGCCTTGGGGACTTTTAAAGCCTCGTTTGGGCCTCCTGGGTGCCTCTCGGGGGCCTCCTGGGGCCTCTTGGGGGCTCCTTGGGGCCTCCAGGGGCACTCTTCAAGCGGGAGGGTCGACGGGGTCCGGACTCTTTGCGGGGCCCCACCACGCCAGAGCTGAGCATCCAGAAGGACGCGTGGGCAGGAGAGGGCGCGCGATCGGCAAGTCTTCGGGGAAGCACGGAGTGATGTCGCAGAGTGACGGCACGCGCGCGTGGACACGGCTGCGGCGCAGCAGCGGAACGCACCACGACTGTGACAAGCATGAAGTCGGGCCTGTCCAAAGTAGTATGGAAACGATGTGTTGATATTTGTTTTGTGCATTGTTGGTGTATGCTTGGTGTATTTTTAATTTTTCGTCCCAGATCCGCCTGTACAGTCGGCCCGGATTAGTAGGTCGACCCTGCCAAATGTATAATTTGTCGTCCCAAATCTGCCTGCCGGGGGTCCGTATCCATTTTGGCTCAAGGCGTCCCAAGACGCGCTGCCAGCGCCTCAGCGACGCGTGCAGGGGCGTCCGTCAGGCGCGCTGGACACTTTCCCTCTGAGCTATGGCGCTCGCTTGGCGCTGTTTCCTCAGCATGTCACGAGGTCGGGCCCTGGCTGCGGCGCTGCTTGCGATGCAGCCGCTCGCGGCTGCAGGCAAAACGCAGATGGTGGAGCGGATTTTGAAGTACGTCGGGTCCGACGACACGCAGTGCTCAGGGCAGTCCTGCTGCGAGCATTCGACTTGTTGGCGGTTGCCTGGCATGGGGTGCAACGGCGCACGCGGGGAGACGAAGTGCGTCGGCGCAGCGCTGTTCCCTCCGAGGAAGGGCAAGTGCACCTGCGGCGCCGGGTCCTGCAGCTCGGACGGCGTCTGCCACGCGTCGGAGCTTCCGCAGCCCCTCAGGAAGTACAGCTCCGGGGCCGCGCCGGTCAGGAGCCTGGGCTCCTCGGGCGACAAGAGGTCGGCGGCATCCAGCTCAGCACCAGACTGGGCGACTGCCGGTGCCTGCGCGGGCGTTGCCTGCGTGCTGGGCTTGGCGCTTGGTGGCGCGGTGCTGGGGATACGGCTCCGCAGGCGCAGAATCAGTGCGGCGGAGCTTTGCATGCTGCCGATGACCGAGGAGGACGCCGGCGCGCAGCGTCCACGCGGACCCCGCCGCGAAACGGACCGATCCAGAGGCACGCCGTGGCGCTGACCGCCGTGGTGGCGACGGGCTCACTGCGAGCTCAGCCCTGCAGGGAGTGGCCAAGGGGCGACACCCTGCATCAGCGGAGAACAGTTTGCGGCGGGGGCGCCAAGCATTTTGACGCTTGTCGCGACGGCGAGCTCAACGTCTGTGCCTGCGGAGTGGCGGTGCGCATCCTGGGCGCTGGCGCGCCGTCGCAGACAGCGCTGCACGCCGAGAGCCAGTAGGGCTCCGCGGTGTTGCTTGGAGAATTCGCTGCCGAGGCGTACTGACATGAAGAGACTTCAGGCCCTGCACGTCTCTGCCAGTGGGCACGAGGCGCGCTCCTGGTTGACCCAGTCCACTGCATGCAGACCAGTAATTCGTCCAAGGCTTACTTGAGTTCGAACGCTGAGCACAGTCTCGTCCATCTGCCTTCTCTGGTGCCCACCCCGCCCAGGACTCGCGCTTGTTTTTGGGTGACAGCACTCGAGACGCAGTGTCCTCCCAAGAGGAGCTGCATTCGAACTCACGCTTTCAAGTCTTGGTCAACGCTTCTGGCTCAGGTGCCTGAAGAATTGGGACGTCCGTCGACCTGCCGCAACCACGGAGCATCCCGTAATCTGTCCCCGTGGCCGCCGAGGCTTGACACAGTCTGCGAGTCGGGCTGTTGTTGATAATCAATGCGATATTGCATGACTTTGCCTGATTCATAGTTGCTGTATGTTGCCGGTAGTTGTGTTCGCTCAGCATGCACGTGCTAATTGAAGCCACTCTCGTATCGAAGGTGGGCTTCCCTGCCTATGCCCTGACTTTTATGTACAGTCGTCTTTGTGTTTGCGTTGTTTGGTTAACTGCGGCGCATCGGTCTATGGACACTGTTTTGCCGCAGTTACCTCCAATCTAATAGCATCGGCCGGCATCGATTCCCCGTGCTGCATCGGTTTCAGTAGGAAATCAATGTTTAACATACCAATTGAGTGCAGCAGATTCCAAAGAAAGTGCTTGCAGGCGTATGGACATGGCGGCGAAAAAAAATCCGCCTGCAGGGGGACATGCCCGACCTAAGACAAGCAGTCGGATGCAGGAGACATCGAGGGATCGAAAAGTTATGGCATCGTGTCCACGACGGTGGGTGTGCTAAAAGTCCACACGTGTCTCGCCAAGACCTTGAGTTACCAAAGCACCTCGGACCAGAATGTATATCCCCCTTCCCCGAAACTCAAGGTTGACAGGTGTGGGCGGCAGGCCGCAGGCCAGGGACAACATGTGGACGCTTCAGCTTTGGTTTCGGGGGGGAGGGGTGCGAAGCAATGGCATTTCGCAGCCTGTGCTGGTCCCCACGAGGCATCGTCTTACCGCCATGGGTGTGGACACTTTTTGCCTGGGCACCGGAGCCTCGCAGGGGGGGGGGGCCAGTCGAGGCGCCCAGTGCCCGTCCCCCGGGGCTGCTTTCTCGCCCCATCCGCGGAGGCCTCCTCGTCGCCACGGCCAGGCGCCCGCCTCGAGGAGCACTGTCAGGCCGGGCCCCCCAGCAGGGGCCTCGGGGGCGCCACCTCGGGCGTTGCGCAACTGGGGGGCGATAGGTACTGATTGAGTGTGCGGGGGGGGGGGGAGAGAAAACGGTGCACCTCCTGCGCCCCGAAGGGAGGGGACGCCAGAGGGGCACGCTGCCCCCCCACCGCCACCACTTAGTCGCCCCCCCCCTGAAGCAACGCCTAAGATTCTGAAGCAGCCTGACCCGTTCCCCCTCCTCCTGATTCTCCTCCTCCTTCTCCTCCTCCTCCGCCGTCCTCCTCCCTCCTCCTCCGCCTCCTCCTCCGCCTCCTCCTCCTCCTCCTCCTCCTCCTCCTCCTCCTCCCCCTCCTCCTCCTCCTCCTCCTCCCTCCTCCTCCTCCTCCTCCTCCTCTTCCTACTCCTCCTCCTCCTCTTCATCATCATCAACAGCAGCATCATCATCACCATCAGCATCGTCATACCCATCATCGCCATCATCATCATCATCATCATCATCATCATCATCATCATCATCATCATCATCATCATCATCATCATCATCATCATCATCATCATTATCATCATCATCAGCATCATCATCATCACCATATCATATCATATCACAGCATAGCATATCATATCATATCATATCATATCATATCAGCAGCAGCATCATCCTCATCAGCATCATCATCAACATCAGCATTACCATCACCATCACCATCATCATCATCCTCCTCGTCCTCCTCCTCCTCCTCCTCCTCATCATCATCATCAGTATCATCATCATCATCATCATCATCATCATCATCATCATCATCATCATCATCATCCCTCCTCCTCCTCCTCCACCTCCTCCTCCTCCTGCTCGTGCACCTCCTCCCCATGACTCCTCCTCATCATCATTTCTTCTCCATCTCCCCCTCCCCACTCCTCCTCCTCCTCCTCCTCCCTCCTCCTCCTCCTCCTCCTCCTCCTCCTCCTCCTCCTCCTCCTCCTCCTCCTCCTCCCCCTCCTCCCCCATCGTGGCCCGGGTCAGGCGGGAGAACCAGCCCGGGGCCTCCCCCGGCCCGCCCCCCCCCGAGGTTCGACCGCAGCGTCGCGGTGTACGTCTTGAGCCTGCCCGCGGACAAGAGGCGCTGGGCCACGGTCTCGGAGCGCCTCGGCGCGCTGCGGATCCGCCCCAGGCGCGTGCCGGGGGTGGACCTGCGGAAGGAGACCCAGATATGCTAGGCCTCCTGGGCGGGGTCGAAGGATCGCGCCGCATCGCCGATGCATCGGCGATGCGGCTCGATGCGGAGCGCGACTTGCTTCATGTCGACGTCGCCGATGCATCGCCGACGTCGACGATGCATCGCCGTTGCATCGCCGATGCATCGCCGATGCATCGCCGATGCGTCAACGATGCGTCGCCGATGTATCGGCGATGCGGCGCGATCCTCCGACCCCGTCTACTCGGACCCCATCTAGGAGGCCTCGAGATATCCGGCGACTACACGTAAGAGAGACCCTTCGCCGGAGTGACCTTCGGTGCGGGCTCATCGGGGCCCCTCCGATCGCCGAGCGTGATGCGATATGTTGTGGCTGCCTGAGATCAGGAGAGGAAAAAACACACAGACACAATTAATCCTCGATTTCCAAGAAAATATGGGAAAATATGGGAAGTGGGGGGGAAGACAGAAACCCAGAAAATATGGGAAAATATGGGGACTATTTTATTTGTGTGTATTTATTTGTGTGTCCTAATTTCCCTTTATGAGAGCTTGGATTTGGCCACCTGGCGCCCCCTTGGTCCCCGCACCAACACGGTCACCCTTGCCTAGGGTCGCTCCTGCGTGTCGCCGAGTCCGACGCATGGAAAAAATCAAGGCGGCGGTCCTGCGCAGTTTTATCGGCCTTTGGGGCCCCCGCCCGGTCCCGGGGGCTGTCGGAAAAAAGCGGCTCGGGCAGGAAAAAGGATCCCATGGTGAAGCGGGGGTGGACAGAACACCCCTTTTGACACCTCGATTAGTGAATTATCCGTTTTCGGTTCTCGAGAGGGCGCCGCGGCCGTCATTTTCCAGGCTTGCGCCCGCCAGGTTTGGGCCTGAGGTCGTTTTCACTAAACCACGTTTTACTAAATGGGGGTTCTGCCCATCCCCGAGTGAATGATGTGTCGAGACTTCTGGGGGCCCAGCATTGACAAAATCACGGCATCGGACCTCTGGGGAGCGTTTCTCATTCCCGGGCGATAGCGGTCAGGAGCGAACGAAGGACGCACATGCTCGGTTGCACGCAAGAGAGGCATTTCGCCGGAGTGACTCTTGGTGCGGGCACACGGGCCCCTCAAGTGACTCAACGCCATGCGAAAGAGCGGTTCTACCGCTGCAGGCGGAAAACCGGGAGTGGGGGCACTGGGGGCTCCCAACCAAAACCGGGGGGGTCACTACCGGATCGAACCCCCCCACTCCCCCCCCACCCCCAGTCCATCATGAAAAGGGGGGGGGGTCACTACCGGTTCGACCCCACCCCGCTGGCAAACGATTCCCGCTCCTCGGCTCGGATCGGCGCAGGACCCCCCTCCGTGGCGCGCGGAGCGCGCCAGGGGCGGCGCTGGAGGTGCCGCCAGGGGGCCCCAGATCAGCGACGGGTCGCTAATTTCCGCTTCCGAACGAGGCGGCACCGGCCGCATTTTGGGGAGGGCACCTCCCCCGATCCATGGATTTGGCGACCGCGCGCCAAAACCATGGATCGCTAATCCATGTTTGCGCGCCCCCGATCTCAGAAGCCCTCGCGCCTTCTGAGAAGTTTTTGTTCGTGTTTTTGGGGAAGGCTCAGAAAACTTCTCCGAAAGCCAGGGGACTCCCGAGCCTTCTGAGACTGCCTTCTCCTTCTCGCTTCCCCCCGGGCTCGCCGCCGACTTTCTGGCCTCCTTGAACAGGCATTCCCGTGGGGGGCGGGGAGGGTGTGGATGGGGTGGGAACGTCACGTTTCGCGCCGGCGCCGTCTGGGAGCGTCCAGGAATGACCAACGGCAATCCGGAGGTCCGCGCGCGGATCGTGACGTTACCTGGAGGGGGGGGGGCGGCCAGGGTTGGTAACGGACGGCCGGCGTCGCGAAAAACAACATTCTCGAGGAGGGTGCTCTGCAGGACGCCCGCGAGGAGGGCCTCGTCCCAGACGGCTACAACTTCACGCTCGCTCAGGAGGTCGCCAAGAAGCCCGAGTACCACTTGGGCGGCATGCTGGGCACCCTGGGCTGCGCCTGCGGGCACTTCAAGGCGCAGGCGGCCGCGATGGCGGACGGGAGCCCGCTCGCTGTCGTGCTCGAGGATGACGTCTGGCTCGAGGACGACTTCGTGGAGCGGCTGTGGGACCTGGTCGTCCACGAGCTGCCGTGCGACTGGCAGGTAACCTCGCTGTACTCGCGCTGCCCCTTCGGGCAGTGCGTGTCCCCTCGCCTGGCGCGCATCTGGCCGGACGTGAACGAGCCCGAGTGGCGCTGTCGTGCAGGGGTCCTCCTCCTCCTCCTCCTCCTTCTCCTCCTCCTCCTCCTACTACTACTACTACTACTACTACTACTACTCCTACTACTACTCCTACTCCTACTCCTACTCCTACTCCTACTCCTACTCCTACTCCTACTCCTACTCCTTCTCCTACTCCTACTCCTACTCCTACTCCTACTCCTACTCCTTCTCCTACTCCTTCTCCTACTCCTTCTCCTACTCCTACTACTCCTACTCCTACTCCTACACATACTCCTACTCCTACTACTCCTCCTCCTCCCCCTCTTTGGGCCTCCCGGGGGGGCCCTCGGTGCCACGGCCAGATTCGTCTCGAGATCCTGTGTCCGAAGAGGCTCCATGGACAGTCCCGACACACGGCGGCTCGGTCCTGCTCGGAGCCTGCTCTCCCGGCCACCCACTCTCCAGAACGGCTTCTGCATCCCAGGGCGCCGTGCGATGGTCCTGGAGGGGCCAAACAATCGGCGAAAGGTCGGCGGCCCCTCCTCGATTCGCTCGGGCCGCCGGAGGTTCGGGAGGGGTCCCAGGGGCCGGGCCGAGCTTGGAGGAAGGGGAGGTCCGAGCGGGATCTGGGGAAGGTGAACTGGGGCATGCAGGGCATGCTGTATCGCACGCCCGAGCTGGCTCGGGTCCAGAAGGCCTGGAGGCGCGCGGTCTTCGACGACGGCAGGCCCCACTGCATGGACGTGGACGTGGCGCTCGCCTCCGTGTCTGACGAGGTGAGCTTCTACGCGGTGCCCTCGTCACAGGACCCGCAGGAGGCACCCGTACACACGGTTCATTTCTAATGTTTCGAGTTCTTTGATTTTTTTGGGGGGCCAAGATCCTGTCATTTCTGATTATTCTATCCTGGGCCTCTTCCTGGCCACTATGGGGCCAGGAACAATCAGAAACGAGCACAATTAGAAATGAGCACGATTAGAAATGAACGACGTGTACACCACTACCGTGCCTCGCCAGGGCCGTCCTCGGGCCTTCAGGATGGTGTGGGGACCAACCTGGCCTCGCCCAGAGCTCGAAGAAGAAAGACTGGCAGAGGTCAAGCGTAAAGTGTCGGAGGTCCGCGGGAAGTTCTTGGATCGGCGCTGGGCAATCCCCCCCTCCCTGACGCGCGGAGCGCGCCAGAGGCGCAGCGCTGGTCCAACAAAGCTCTCGTGTGATGCCTTTCGGCAGCGGGCCCGGTCGGGAAGTGAGACGGAGAAGGCGTTATCAGAAGGCTCGGAAGCCCCACGGCCTTCGGAGAAGCTTCCTGAGCCTTCTCCGAAGGCACAACCAACTTCTCAGAAGGCGCAAGGGCTTGTGAGGAGTCCGGCCGCCTTCTGAGAAGGCCCTCTCCGTCTCGCGTCCCCCCCTCCTCTCTGCACGAACGACTTTGAACAGGACTCGCTGTCCGCGCCGCCGCGGCCTGTGTCCATCTGAGACAGAAGGCTTCCTGCCGAACGGCGGCCGCTGTTGGTTTGGGGCAACAGTTGTCATTGGGCAGTGTACCCCTTTTTTCTCTACCCGCTTCGGGCGTCCAAGCCCTCGCTCGCCGCCGAGTCCTGCTCCTCGGAGGGTCGCCCTGGCCCAGCCTGGCGGTGTGTGCGGCAGGCTCGCGTCGTGTCGGCGCGGGGCTGCTGCCCCCCGCGCGGGCGTGCGAGGCTGCACGCCGCCTGCGGCCCAGACCTGGGCTGACGGCGGTCGGCTGCTCGCAGGAGTGACCTCTCGCCGGAGGGACCCCTGGGGTGCGGTCTCGTCGGGGCCCCCCCCTCGGAGGTGGAGAGACCTCCTACCCTGACACGTCGATTCAGGAATTGGCCGGTTTCGGTTCGCGAGGGGGCGTCGCGGCCGTCATTTTTGCGGGTCCAGGCCCGTCGGTTTCGGTCCCAGGCCGTCTTCACGAGGGGGAGATTTACTGACGGGAGGTCTGTCCACCGCCGACCATCGGGGTCCCCCCCCCCCCGATCGCGGAGCCGCGATGCGATGGCGGCGGACTGCGCGCTTGGACGTGGCCGCCCTGCGCCCCCGCGGCCCGCGCACCGGAGAGGTCCCTCGTGCCCGGGGCTCGCCTCCTGGAGTCGAGCGCCCTGCGCTGTCGGAGAGCCGCAGCCGCTGCGAAGGCTGCACCATAGCCGCACGGCCCCGGAGGCCCGCCCCGCAGGAGCCCGGGCTCCTGCGGGAGACCAGCCACGAGTCGGCCCGCTGGGCCATCAACAGCAACAGCGGCCAGCAGCACGGCCCAGTAAAGATCGGCATGCCCTTCCCGAGGTGACCTCGGCAGGGGCCCGCGCGGCAGGTGGGCCTCCCGCCTCGAAGAAGAGAACACGGCATGAGCATTCAGTCGGGCCTGTCCCTCTACAGGAGGAAGATTCAAAAATAGTCACAAACATAATATGGGGACGATTGTTTGTAACATGTTTGAACTGTTTTGGTGTATTCTTCACGTTTTTCAAATTTTCTTCCGATCTCCCTGTAGGGGGACACGCCCGATTTAACATGAGCACAGACCTGTGGCGCTCCGCGCGGATTTCTCGGATCTGCGCCGGAGCGCCCTGGCGGCGCCCTTCGGCGCTGCCCCTGGCGCGCTCCGCGCGCCAGGAAGGGGGGCCCAGCTCGGATCCAAGAACTCCGCGCGGACCGCCAAAAGTTTGTGCTCATGCCGTGTTCTGTTCCCCTACCACCTCCAGGCGACCAAGCTCGGAGGAGGGCCAGGCGAGACACCCCTGGGCCTTCCCTGGAGTGTAATAGTGCCTCCCCAGGCCTCTCCCGCAGGCTTCTCGCCGCCACGGCTGGATCCTGCAGGCTTCTCGTCGCCACGGCAGGAGGATCCGCCTCGAAAGACGGTTATGGGAACGAGCCTGAGCAGATTTAGGCCGGGCGAGCTCCCCAGACAAGTGCGTCGAGGACTGCCAGTCCCGCGCGCAGTCGGGATCCAGCCCTCCGCCGTCCCGTGTATTGTGCAGGGCGTCGAGACCCAGGGCGCTCGACCTCGGCACTGGAGCAGACGTCGGCCCGTGGGCCGGACCGAGATGCGCCGCCGGAGGCCAGAGTGCTGGGAAGCTGGCCGGGGCGATTCTTCTCAGGACATCAGAGGTCGGTTGTGCGTATATGATCGGGCCGGGCAAAAGGGGGGGATTAGGAAAGGGGGGGTTACGAAATCTGCTGCATGCAGCTGGTTTCGGCCTCACAGAGGGGCCCATTCCTCGATATATATATATATATATATATATATATATATATATATATATATAGCCGCTTCCGGCGCCGGGAGGCGCCGGGAAAATCAGCTACGTGAGCTGATTCTCAAACCCCCCCTTTGCTATCCCCCCCTTTCGCCCGACCCGATATGAGATCTGTGAGAGCGGCCCATCTGTCGGACCCTGGGACGCTGGCGATGCCATTTTTTCGCGCTGGGCGCTTTCGCGAGGTTCCGGGCCCCGGGGCCCTCGCGCCTCGACCCGGCTCGAAAACTCCACCGAGCGACGGGGCCCTGGATCTGTCGCGGTGCTGTGGTTTTTCGCAGCGTCGGATCTCAGGTCAGGAGGGAGGAAACCACACAGACACAATGAGTCGTCGATCCCCAGGAACTCATGCGAGAAGACATGGGGAGTGGGGGGGAGGCAGAGCTCCAGAAAACATCTTGGAAGAATATGGGGGAGCCTGGGATTCGTGTGTGTGTGTGCTTCTTCGTGTGTCCCTGGGCCCCTTCGCTTCTGGGCTGGCGCGGGGGCCCGCAGGGGACCGCAGGAGCAGGCCCCTGCGCGCTGGGATCTGCGGAGACAACGGGTCGGCCCTCCCGCCCAGCCAGAAGTCGGGCCTGTCCCTCGACAGGGGGGAGGTTCACGAATAGTCAAAAAATACTCTGGGGACGATTTTTCTGTATGTGTGTATATTTATGTGCGTATGCACGCTATGTTATAGCATGTTGGGGGTATTTCTGGATCTTTCCTCCCAAATCCCCCTGTGGGGGGACAGGCCCGGCCCAAGCCCAGCCCGGATCCGCTCACGGTCGGTCCGCGGACCCCCTCCCGGCGTCCATCCTCTGGCCCCTCTGTCCCGGCATCGCTCTCGGACGTGTGCACGTCTCCCGGCGAGCACCGTCGAGGAGCATCTCGGGTTCGGGGGCGGCCACGAGGGGGGTGTTGATTAGGGTGAAGTCGGGCACGTCCCTCTACAGGGGGGAAATTCAGAAGCAGTCGAAACGATAGTCTGGGGACGATTGTTCGAGCATTTTTTGCCATTTGGGGGTATTTCTTGACTACGTTCTATTTTTCGTCCAAAATCCGCCTAGGGGAGGGGGGGGATATCGTGGCGAGGGCCATGATATCTCCCAAGATTTCATGGCGCCTCTTCTTGTTTCAACGCGTTCCTGCCCCCCCCCCCTGGGCTGTGCACATGCCGCCGGCCATGGATTGGCACCCCCCCCTCTTAGACGCCCCCCTCTTGGCCGCCCCCGATGGGTCACCCTGCGAAAAAAAATACACGCACGGAGTCGAAGCAGGCCCAGGGAACGGACGTCCGAGCCATGGCCCGTCCGTCGTGGCGGATCCAGCCGTGGAGGCGAGAAGTGTTCACGAGGCCCAGGGAGGACCAGCAGCAACAGAAATACGTAGCACCCCGCAATTGCGGATAAGAGCGAGGGGGCGGGCGCGGGCGACGCGGGCGTCGAGCTGGCGGACCTCGTGGCCCTCACCTTCCCTGTCGATGGCTCCCTCCTCCTCCTCCTCCTCCTCCTCCTCCTGCTCCTGCTCATCCTCCTCCTCTTCCTCCTCATCCTCCTCCTCCTCCTCTTCCTCGTCCGCGTCCTCCTCCTCCTCTTTCTCCACATTCTCCTTACATCCTCTCTTCTTCCGCGTCCTCGTCCCCTGTTTACTCCTCTGCCTCGCCCTTCTTTCTCAAGATAACGGCAAACCAATCCTTTGTTCCACTGAATGCTCCCCGACTTCTCTGATCCAGGCAACTCGCCAGGGTAAAGTTGCTGGATGGGTTGGTGTGGATGAGCGGCGCTTGAAGAGGTCTTGGGGGGCTCAGACGGCATGCAAAATCCGCCGCCGCGCTTGTGCGGCACTGGCGTGTTGTGTGGTAGGGTTCGTGGACGCCCCCCTCAGGAGGGTCCGAGGCCCCTTAATTGTGGGCGCATTGAGGCAGCATCCCCTGAACCCAGGCTTTGGGCACGGATGCCGAATTACAGCAGGCAGCTGGATTGTCAATGACCGTATTCAGACACAGCCCCGCCGCAGGCGCCGATGTGCTGTTGTAGAGTCAACGAGGGCCGGATCGGGGGAATGGCAAGAGGGCGCTTTCCCAAACCAATGCGAGCAAACCCGCCGCAGGCGCCGATTTGCGTGCTCTGACAAGTTGACCGCGGGGGGGATCGCTGGTGGGCCACCCGGAACGAGTGCAAAAACAGCCCGCCGCAGGTGCCGAACTTTTGGTTTGTTCAGTGAACGTTGTTTGGGTCGCGGGTGGGTCGCGGGCTCTCCTCCACCTGGACGGAATTCAAAAACAGCCCGCCGCAGTCGCCGGAACTTTTGATTTGTACACTGAAAGCGGTTTGGGTCGCGGGTGGGCCGCAGGTTCTCCACCTGGAACGAATGCAAAAGAAGCCCGCTGCAGGCGCCGAAAATTTTGGGTGGGTCGCGGGTGGGTCGCGGGTGGGTCGCGGTGGGTCGCGGGGGTCGCGGGCGCGGTTTGGATCGCGGGTGGGTCGCAGGGTCGCCACCTGGAACCAATGCAAAAAAAAACCCGCCGCAGGCGCCGAAAATTTTGGGTGGGTCGGTGGGTCGCGGGTGGCGCGGTGGGTCGCGGGTGGGTCGCGGGTGGGTCGCGGGTGGGTCGCTGGGTGGGTCGCGGGTGGGTCGCGGGTGGGTCGCCGGTGGGTCGCGGGTGGGTCGCCGGGTGGGTCGCCGGATGGGTCGCGGGCGGGTCGCGGGGTGGGTCGCGGGTGGGTCGCGGGTGGGTCGCGGGTGGGTCGCGGGGTGGGTCGCGGGTGGGTCGCGGGGTGGGCCGCGGGTGGGTCGCAGGTGGGTCGCGGGGTGGGTCGCGGGGGGTCGCTGGGCGGTCGCGGGTGGGACGACGACAACAACAAACAACAAATAACAAACACAACAACAGCAACACCGACAAAAACAACAACAGTAATCCGCATCGCGGAATTCAGGAAGAAGTACCTGCTCCAGGGGAAGGGCCCTTCTGACGAGAAGTTCGACAACAGGTGTTGTAAGCCCGTCCCCATTCGTTCGCACAGCGAATCTCGGGGCTAGCATTTAGGAGTTTCAGTTGCAGGGTTGGCGCCTCGTGGTCGGAACCCCTCGTCGTCATCATTCGCCTCATTAGCGTCCTCCTCCTCCTCCTCCTCCTAGTCCTCGTCCTCCTCCTCCTCCTCCTCCTCCTCCTCCTCCTCCTCCTCCTCCTCCTCCTCCTCCTCCTCCTCCTACTTCTCTTCCTCCTCTTGCTCCGTTTCTTCTCGAGAATCGACGTTCGAATTTCTCCCGGAGCACAATCTGAGCAGAGTCTCGAGGCGAACCCAGCCGTGGCCATGAGGGCTCTTCGCTGCCCACCCACCCCGACCTCCCTTTTCCCCCTCTGCCACCCGCTCCCCCGCCACCCTCCTCGCTCTCCCCCCTCCCCATCCCCCCCCCCCCCCTTCCCCCTGTGCCCCCTCCCCCCCCTTGAGCGGAGCCCGCGCAAAACGCGCGCACGGCTCGTCCGAATTCGCCCTGGCCACGCGCCCCGGCGGCGAGCCCGAGCGGGCCTTGTGCCGCGCCCCCTCGCGGGGCGACCGAGCGGAATTCGTCCCCACGGCCTGCGACGCGACGCCCGACCGTGACGTCCCCTCGGGGGCCCGTGGCTCTCGGGGCTCAAGAGACGTAGGTCAATGCAAACGGGGGTCAGCCAGAGCGCCAGATCTTGCAGGATCCTGCAGGGCCAGGGTCGCATTGACCCGGGCTTGGGCGCAGGATCCTGCAGGATCCTTCGCATTGACCCGGGCTTGTGTGCGGGATCGTGCAGGATCTTGCAGAATTCTGCCAGCCCTGGCTGACCCGGGTCTGGTCTGACCCAGGCCAGAAGGTCCCCGAGAGGCCCGCGTCCACGGCGCGACGGCGGCGGCGGCGTCCGCGGCGCGGCGGCGGCGGCGACGGACGGCGTCGACGGCGGCGGCGGCGGCAACGGCGGCGGCGACGACGGCGGCGGCGGCGCCAACGGCGGCGGCGACTACGGGCGGGCCGCGCTTCGCTGTCGCGGGGGCGGCCTCCCTCCGCGGGCCTCGTCCAGCACGTCCTCGTCCTCGCGCTCCCCTCGCGCGTGCCATGGCGTGCACCCGTTGTGCGTCCTGTGGCGTGAGGTACGAGTGCCATGATTGAACGTGTTGTGCGGTGTGTATGTGCGTGCGTGCGCACTGCGCATGGATGGTATGTGCCATTGTGCGCGCGCGTGGGTGCGCGATTGCACAAGCACTTTTTGGGGGTGGGGGGCAGAGCTCGAGGGCCAGTTGAGGCAGACAGGCGAGGGAGGAGCAGGGAGCAGGAGAAGCCAGGGGATCAAGAGCATAATACAGCCAGGGCAGGGTGCAAGGGGGCGAAGAGGACGGAGGTGGACGTGGAGCCATGGAGGGGGAATTGTGGAGGAAGGGTGGGGAGGAGAGGTGGTGCCGCTGCCGCCGCCGCCGACGACGACGACGACGGCGACGGCGACGACCACGACTACGGCAACTAGGAAACGACGACGACGAGTAAGGGAACAACCACGACGACGTCGTTGACACCAACGACGACGAGGAAGCCACGACAACGACGGCGAGGACGCCACGACGGAACAACGACGACGACGACGACGACGACCACAACCAAGGAAGGTGGGGTGAACGACGGCGACGAAGACGACTGCGACGACGAAGGGTGGGAGGAGGATGGGGGCTCTTGGGTTCGACAGCCCCCCCCTTCACCCACCCCCGGGCGCATCCGACTCCGCGGTGCGATCCACTCATGCGCACGTCACCCTCCTTTGAGGCGACATGGAATTTCGGGGCCCTACCGCCTCGCTCAATGGCGGTTGGGCTTGCGCCAGCATCTAGCGGTAGTTGATCAGCCCATCGCCGTTCACATCCAAGGTGGTGCCCATCCTCTCCGCAGCCTTGAAGGCGAGAGTCGCGTTGGATTCGGCTCTCGGGTGGCGCAGCTCTGCGGCATTGATGGGCACATGCTCTTGTCGTACGTTTGGGAGACACGAGAAAGTTTGCCACGAGTTGCCCTGGATCGGCGCTAGACACCCTGGCGGCGCCTCCAACGCCGCCCCTGGCGCACGGGAGTCTAGCGCCGACCCAAGAAATCCGCACGGACCTTCGAACAAACAGATGGTTGTGCCGTTCCTTGTAGAGAAAGTCTCACCAGTGACGGTTATCCGCTGCAAGCACCAACCAGAGCACCAGATTCGACGCAGACGCCCGCCTCCCCTTGTACTGTCTGTGTCGCCTTATGCGCACGGGTACCGCCCCCATCAGCGAGGTTGTGCTTGATGATCTCCGCATTGGTGGCCTTCTTCGGCACCTTCGAGCATCGCTTGGTTCCTCGCCTAGATACTTCAGCCTCCAAGCTGCAACCCAGGCCGCCCTGCTGTGTCAGGCACTGGCTCCACGGCGTGCGCTGCCGCGGCGTACGGAGAGGTTCGTAGTGGCGCGGTGTGCGAAGAGGGTGTAGGGAGGAGGAGGAGGAGGAGGAGGAGGAGCAGGAGGAGGAGGAGGAGGAGGAGCGCATGGCTGAGGTGCTCACGGCGGGATGTGGATAGGCCCCAAGGCCGTTCAAGTTGGGGACCCCCCCCCACACGGAAGCGCTAGCTTTCTCATTCCGCTTCTTTCTTCCTCATCCCCTGTTCATCATCATGTCCCTCATCCACCTCTGTCTTCACATCTTCTTTCCTCTCGCCTCCTCGTCCTCCTCCTCCTCAACCTCCTCAAACATATCCCTCACCTCCTGATCCACCTCCTCTACCCGCTCCCCCTCCTGCCCTTGCCCCACCTCCTTCCTCTTCATCGTCCCCTTCATCGTCGTCCTCTCTCTTGTTCTCTCTCTCGCTCTCTCGCTCTCTCCGTTCGCTGTGCTTCTCCGCCTCCTCCTTCCCTCCCCTCGCTCCTCAGCATCACCCTTCCACTCGTCGCACCACCCAACGTGTCGGCAGGGCGTGCCGTGCGTTTCGCGTGATACGTCCTCAAAGTGTACCCCTAAAGCTTGAAAGTCCAGACAGCTACCCGATGGAGGGCGAGCAGTGTTCGAAATGTGGCTCCCGCCGAAACGCCGTGCGCAGCCGCCTTCGAGGCTCACGACAGTTGCACGGACGGAGGGCTCGTGGTGTTCATTTGTTGATTCCTGTCGCAGCGCCGCGCACACTGGATCTGGAAGCGTGCAGCTGTGCAAGTACGGCTGTTTCGGTGTGGCTATCAGTTCACATCAGAATTGATTGGCACAACAAGCGTACAACACTTACACGACAGGCGGGGTTGCTTCAGAACGTGATTCTCGCCCCAGCGTTGCGCACACTCGTTTTATAGGCCGAGTACGTATGCAAAGACGGGGCTCCGACTTGCGAGACCATCATAATTTATGACCCGCAGATCAATACTGGGACAAAAGCTTCACGAGTGGAGGTCGCTTCCGTTTCAGAAATTAGCTCTCGCTTGACGTCCACGGTGGAGGCATTTGATAAGGAATGTTTTTGTTTCCAGGCCGGACCCTCTGGCATTCCTGATATGTTACGGAGTGGCGGTTGCAGTTCAGGGTCCGAGGGCATTCCTTAAGCGGTGGTGGACACAAGCCCTGTCGTGTACACAAGTTTTTGTGGACATGCACACACAAGTCCGTGCGTTTCTCTTCTTAAAGTTCCTTTAGAAAAGGTGGCCTTATTTTAAACCTCCATACTTCAACTTCATGCCCTTACCAATGACTGATGCGTTCGGCTCAGCGTGCCGCTCCGCCTGAGGAGGAGGAGGGGGAAGAGGAGGAGGAGAAGGCGGAGGAGGAGGAGGAGGGGCAGGAGGCGGAGGGGGAGGAGGAGGAGGGGGAAGAGGAGGAGGAGGAGGACGACGATGATGGAGGAGGAGGAGGCGGGCGGCCCACCACGCCTCGGCGCGACACGCTGACCACCCTTTCGGCCCCCAGGCGGTAGTCTTTGTGCCTCTCCTCCCGGCCTCCTCCGCCCCATCGCCACGAGCCGGAGCGGCACGCCAGGTGTCCGCCGAAGCGCAGGGCACGGCGCGTCGCCGTGCCCGCCGCCGCGACGCGCCGAGCAGAAGTTCCGGACCGTGTTGGCACATGCCCAGGGCCCCGAATCACCAGGGGTAGCTCGGGTCAGGGCTGCCTCGGGTTCGTTTTTCGGGATTCCGAGCCCGAGTTACCCCGGGCCCGAGTTGCCCCGGATAGCTCGGGCGCCCAACATGCTGGTCCAGAGCCAGACCCCTCCCCCTCTCCCCCCTCTTCGCTCACGTCGAAGCGTCGAACAAGAGAACGCCCACCATGCTCACCGCGTCAAGGAGGGGAGGTTGGCTCGTGTCCACGACGGAGCTCCCGTCCGGAGGGCACGAGGCGCTTGCATCCCGAGCCGGCTCGCCCCGCAGTGGCCGGAAGCGCCTGCAGGGACCTGCGAGGGTCGTGACTTGTGACGGGAGCGTGTGCTGCAGCACTGCTGGGGCACCCTGCGCTCTCTCTATCCTCCTCCCTTCTCCTTCTCCTCCTCCTCCTCCTCCTCCTCCTCCTCCTCCTCCTCCTCCTCCCCACGATCATCCTCCTGAAACACTCCCCCCCCTCCTGATCGCCTCGTCCTTCTCCCGCTCCTCTTCGTCCTCGCCCACCTCCTCGCCCTGTTTCTCGTCCTCCTCACCCTTCTCCTCGTCCTCCCACCGCCTCGTCCTCCCACCTCCTCCCCCTTCCGTTCCTCCTCCTCCTCCTCCTCCGCCTCCTCCTCCACGTCTTCCTCGTCCTCCCACCTCGTTGTCGTCCTCCTCGTCCTCCTGATCCTCCTCGCCGTGCTCCTGCTCCTCCCCATCCACCTCCTCCCGCTCATCCCTCGGCCAGCCCTCCTCGCCCCAGCTGCGCCGCCCCCGCACCTCTGGAGGACGGCACCCTGCCCCCGGAGCCCGCCGGGAAGGTCATCCAGCTCCTGCGTTTCGATTTCCAAGGCCCGGGCGTGGAAGCCAGAGGGGCCCCCTGCCTCCAGAGGCTCCCCCCATGTTCCTCCTGCGCCGCCTCCTCCTCCTCCTCCTCATCCTCCTCCTCCTCCTCCTCCTTCTCCTCCTCCTCCTCCTCCTCTTCCTCCGATTCCTCCTCCTCCTATTCCTCCTCCTCCTCCTCCTCCTCCTCCACCTCCTCCTCCTATTCCTACTCCTCCTGCACCTCCTTCTCATCCTCCGCCGTTTCATCAGCAGCAGCATCATCATCATCATCATCATCATCATCATCATCATCAGCAGCATCATCATCACCATCAGCATCATTCTCCTCATCATCATCATCACAATCATCACCATCATCACCATCACCAGCGTCAGCATCAGCATCAGCATTATCAGCATCAACATCATCATTACCATCATCAGCATGATCGCCATCATGTCAGAATCAGCAACATCCGCCTCAGCAGCATCATCACAAGCATCTTCACCAAATTATCATCATCAGCAGCATCATCGTCATCATTAGTATCATCATACTCATCATCAGCATCTTCATCATCATCAGCAGCAGCATCTTCATCATCAACATCACCATCATTGACGCAATCATCAGCATCATCATCGTCGTCATCATTGCGGTAATCCTCATCATCGTCATCAGCATGATCATGATGATGATCATCATTATTATCATCTCCATCACCATCATCTAAGCATACTACTAATCAGCATCATCATAATCGTCATCATCAGCATCACCATCATCATCCTCGTCATCATCATCGTCGCTGGCATAATCGCCACCACCATCACCGTCATCATCATCAGCATCATCATCAGCATTGGCATCGACATCGTCATCTTCATCATCATCAGCAGCATCATCATAATTTGTATCAGTATCACCATCATCGTCTGATTCATCAGCATTGCCAACATCATCATCAGCAACATCATCATCGTCGTCATCGTCATCACCATCATCATCACCACCACCACTGTCGTCATCATCATCAGCAGCATCGTCATCATCATCATCATCACCTTGACCGTCGTCATCGCGCATCGTCATCACCGTAATAATCAGCAGCAGCATTACCACCATCCGCATCCCCATCATGATGATCAACATCATCACCATCATCATCAGCATCATTAGTATCGCCCTCGTGATCGCCATCACGCATGATCACCATCCTCTTCATCATTCGTCATCAGCAGCAGCCGCAGCAGCGTTGTCATCGTCATACTTCTCCTCATCCTCGCCATCAACATAGTCCTACGTACTCCTGGTCCCACTCCTCCTCGTCCCCGTCCTCCTCCGCGGCTCCTCGCATCCTGCTCCTGCTCCTGCTTCTCCTCCTCGGTTTCTTCTTCGCCGCTCGGTGCGACGACGGCCCACTGCACGAGTGTCGACGCGCCCAGTGTTGTCGAGCAGTCAGGCTCGAGCTCGAGCAAAGAGGTTGACGCGCGTTGTGCCAACAACGCCAGCAACGACGACGGACGACGATGACGACGACGACGACGGACGACAACGACGACGACGACAACAACGGACAACAACGGACGACGACGACGACGACTACGACGACGACGACGACGACGACGACTGACCCCGACAACGACAGACGACGACGGCGACGACGACGACGACGAACAACGGATGACGGATGACGGACGACGAAGACGACGACGACGACGACGACGACGGACGACGATGACGGACGATGACGACGACGACGACGACGGACGATGGAAACGACGACGACAACGACGATAAACTACGACGACGGCGACGGACGACGATGACGGGCGACGATGTCGGATGACAACGACGACGACGACGACGACGGCGGCGGACGACGGCGACGACGACGACAACGGACGACGACGACGATTACGAGGACGGCGGCGGACGACAACGACGACGACGACGACGACAACGACGACGACCGACGACGACGACGGCGACCACGATGACGACGGCGACGGACAACGACGACGACGATAACGACGGACAACGTCGACGGTGACAACGACGACACTGACGGACGACGACAACTACGACGACAACGACGACGGACGACGACGACGACGACGACGATGACGATGACGATGACGATGACGACAACGACGGACGACGACGACGACAGTGGCGGCGGCGATGGACGACGGCGACGACGACGACGGACCACGACGACGACGATGGACGACGACAGCGATGACGACGACGACGACGACGACGATGACGATGACGATGACGATGACGACAACGACGGACGACGACGACGACAGTGGCGGCGGCGATGGACGACGGCGACGACGACGACGGACCACGACGACGACGATGGACGACGACAGCGATGACGACGACGACGACAATTGACGACGGTGACGACGACGACGACGACGGCCGCCGATGGCGAGCGACGACGACGACGATGGAAACGACGGACACGACGACGATGACGACTAATACGGACGACGACGGCGAGGGACGACGACGACGATGACGACGACGACGCCGACGACGACGATGACGACGACGACGACAACGACGTCGACGACGACGACGGAGAACAACGGACGACGACGACAATGACGACGATGACGCCGGACGACGACGACGACAACGACGGACGACGACGACCACGACCACGACCACGACCACGACGGACAGCGGCGACGACGACGACGGACGACGACGACGACGACGACGATGTCCAACTACGACGAGGACGATGACGACCGACGACGGCGGCGACGTCGACGACGACGACGACGGATGACGATTGCGCACAAAGACGTCGACGACGACGACGACGACGACGGAGGACGACAACGATGACGACGACGACGACGACAGACGACGATGATGACGACGACGGCGACGGAAGACGACGACGACGACCGACAACGACGGCGACGACAACGTTGGACGACGACGTCGACGACGACCACGCACGACGACGACGACGGATGAGGAACGACGACGATGACGACGACGATAACGACGACGACGACGACGACGACGGACGACGGCGACGACGACGTCGACGACGACGGACGACGACGACGACGTCGACGACGACGACCGACGACGACGGTGACGGACGACGACGACGACGACGGGCGACGACGTCGACAACGACAACAACGACGACGACTACGACGACGACGACGGACGACGACCACGACGACGGACGACGACGCGGACAACGGACGACGACGACGACGACGATGTTGACGACGACGGCGTCGACGAAAACGATGGACGACGAACCACGACGACAACGACAACGGACGACGGACGGCGGCGACGACGGACGGCGACGACGACGACGAACAACGACGACGACGACGAACGAAGACGACGACGACGACGTTGCTGAGAACGAAGACGACGACGACGTTGACGACGACGACGTCGACGACGGTGACGGACGACGACGAGCACGACGACGACGACACCGACGACGGACGACGACGACGACGACGACGATGACGAGGAAGACGACAACAACCACCGAGGACGATGACCACGACGACGATGACGTCGTTTTACGACGACGACGACGACGGACGACGGACGATGACGACAACGACGACGACCACGACGACCACACCGACAACGACGACGACGACGGACAACGACGGACGACGACGACGACGGCGACGATGAACACGACGACGACGACGATCGACGACGATTGTTGACGACGGACGGCGACGACGACGACCACGACGATGGATGTCGATGACGATAACGACGACCAGGACGACGACGACGACGATGACGGACGACGACGACAACGACGACGACAACGACGATGACGACGGGCGACGAAGACTACGACGACGACGACGACGACGTTGGACGACGACGGCGACGACGACGACGACGACGACGGACGACGACGACGACGACGACGACCGACGACGATGACGGACGACGACGACAACGACGACGACAACGACGATGACGACGGGCGACGACGACGACGACGACGACGTTGGACGACGACGGCGACGACGACGACGACGACGACGGACGACGACGATCGACGACGCCGGATGACGACGACGACGACGACGATGCTGACGGGCGACGACGGCGACGACGACGACGACGATTGATAACGACGACGGCGAGCGACCAAGGACGACGACGACTACGACGACGAAGTCGACGACGACGACGACGACGACGACGACGGCGACGACGACGACTTCGACGGACGACGACGACGACGACGACTACGACGACGATGACGACGACGATCGACGACGGATGACGGACGGCGACGACGACGACGGACAACGACGGACGACGACGACTAGGACGACGACGGACGACGGACGACGACGACGATGAACACGACGACGGACGACGACGATGATGACGACGACGGACGACGACGACGACGACGAGGACGAGCGACCACGGACGATAACGGACGACGACGACGACGACGACCAGGACGACGATGACGACAACTGTTGACCGACGACCAATGACCGTCGACGACGACGGGTGACGACGGTGTTCCTTGTAGCGCCCTGAGTGCTGCTGCGAGGCCCCCTCCGACGCCGCCGCGCGGCCAAGTGAGATAGAGAGAGAGAGTGGCGCGGCCGCTGGCGTTTCTGGATGGGCGCCCGAGGATGGGTCCACGCGGTGCGGTCGGTCCAGCTGCGCCGCAGTCGGTTGCGCTCGGTCGGTTCGGCTGGGTCGGTTGTGGTAGCGCTTTTGACAGGTTCTGCGGCCCGCCTCTGACGATCCATCGAGGATCGATTGAGTCGGAGAGCCAAGTCGAGATCTGTTAGGAAGTCGTTCAGAGGTTTTCGGGACGCGGGATGCTTCTCATCAGTTGCGCCTCAACGCGGACGTTCCTGGGATGCCGGGATCGTCCCGATCGGCTTGCTGAGGCGTGAGTTGGCGCCCGAAAACAATCGGTTAGCGCCCGAAAGCAATTGGAGGATAGCCAAGTCGAGACAACGGCGGCCCTCCCTGGCGTATCCCGTCCTTTTAGGACCCCCTGCAGGCCTCGCGTCGCCATGACTCGGCGGCGAGCGAGGGGGGGAAATGAGAAGGAGAAGGCCTTCTCAGGTGGCGGGGGTTTCTCAGCAGACATCGGGCTTTCTGAGAGGTTTTGTCTGCATCTTCGAAGAAGGCGGAGAAAACTGTTCAGAGGCCCGGTGAACTCCCGCGCCTCCTGAGAAGGCCCGCCCCTTCTCACTTCCTCCCCGAGCGCGCCGCCTAAACGGCTGCATCCGCCTCGAAGAGCGGGACAGGGTGGATTCCCCCGGAGGCGTCCCGGCATCGACTTCGAGCGGATACTCGGCCCGGGCGGGTTAGCGCCGCCGTTGCCTCGGCTGGCCCTCCTCGCCGCCGAGCTTCTGCGGATCGCCGTGCCTTCCCGAGCTGCTCGCGGTTCGTGGGCGGTCTGCGGCCGTGCCGTCGATCGGCGGGCGGCCTTGGTCCAGGGGCCCCCTCGGCACGGGGCCAGGACCAGGATGGATCCGTCCCAGGGCGTTCCGGAACGCTCTGAAATGGCCGCCGAGACATCCTCCTGAGCCGCCGGATCGCAGAGACTCTCGACGTGTCCTCACCCGGTTGTGTCCTCATCCTGCTTCGGTCTCGCCGTCGATCCAGCCGTGCCGTCGGTCCGCGCACGGCCTTTGGGTCCAGGGCGGCCCCCCCGTTGCCCGGATGGCGGCGAGGCCGCGTCTGCCTGCGCTCCGCCGAGGAGGAGCAGTTCGCCGGTCCCGAGGACTCGCCCCGTGTCGAGCAGTGGCGAAGCGTCTTGGCTTGCGTGCAGGTCCACAAAAACATGTTCTAAAAGCCTCGTGTGGCGTGCGCGAAACTGTCTTGGAACATGTCTGGCTGAGACTGTCATGTTTTAGCACATTGGCTTGATGTTCTAAGAACACGGTATTCTCCAACATGTCTCGTAGGGGTTGTGGTGTTCTTCCCTTCCGCGTCGCACCCGCGTCTCCTCACCTCCCCTCTCTCCTTCTCCTTCTCACTTGCACTAGCGCTGACAACACATATACACACAGCACGAATACAGCACATATACACAGCACTCATATACACACCACACGCAAGAAGGAGAGGGATGACGCACGTACTAGAAAGCGTGGTAGGCGTGGCGTGGCAGACGTGGCGAGCGTGCGACTGCTACACACTCACGCAAAGACACCTACACACAACACACACATACACACCACACAGGCATAGGAGAGGGACGGCACACTATGTTCGGGCCATGGCGCAGGGCACGGCAGGCGTGGCATTTTCTCGACACCAGAGGGGGTGCGCAGGGGGTGGTCCCTGAGCGCCAATGGATCGAGGTCCTCGCTCTGGAACGCCACTGGATCTTGCTGGCGGCATGAGGTCGTTGGAGTGCACAGGCCGTGCGCCTCCACAGTGGCCGTGGAGGTGACTGGGGTCCGCGCGCACTCTGGCTGGCTCCAGGTGAGAGGCCCGCGCTGCTCTGACGGAACGGTGCGCCGGAGTCTTTCCGACGAAGGCAGCGCTGTCCGGCCGCGTGGACGTCGCGCTACTCGCGCCGTTCCTGGACGTTTTGCGTTGCCCGCCCATCTCACTTTTGCATGCCAATCGAAGCCCAGCGATTGTCCATCAATGGGCACTCCCACTGCCTGTATGCCGACGGTTTGTGTTGGCCCGCCATTTCTTTGCGCGCGCAGGTCGCTCCGTCGAAGAGATGGCGGCAGAGGCGTGGAACACGTGGGAGAAAAAGTTGCCGATCTAAAGGGGGGAAGGGCGGGAGAGGGGGCATGGAGAAAGCAGCAGGAAGGACGGGAGAAAGGATCACTCTCGGCCGTCCCAAGAAATGGCCCTCGGTGACCAATTCGCAGCATGCAGAAGTCACGACGCTACGTTCGTGCAAAGTGACCACACAAGGTTTTATTAAGTATGTGGGCTTCCTCGGTAGTGCAACTGTTACTCAAACCTTCTCTCATTCTATGAACATGTCGTGGTAGGCTCACAGGAATGCCGGGAAGGTCGGCCACGTTCGAGACGCCGGATGTTTGAGATAAGGGCCCGATAGCCTTACGCCGCCTGGGAGCGCGCGGATTTGCTAGTCGCAACCAGGAGCCGATCGCCGATCTATCGCAAATCCATCGTCTATTCCAAATCGACGTTCCTCCCCCATGACTAGGTCGGGCATGTCCCTCTACATGAGGAGTATGCAAAAAACATGGAGACGGTTTTTCAGTATTTTGTGTTTGTTGTTGTACATGTTTTGATCGGTTCGTGCAAAATTCTCCCGTAAGAAAACATGCCCGACTTAACCCCATGGGCCGTTCGAAGTTCCCCTCTCACCTCTGCCCCCCCTTCTTGGGGCACCGGAAGTTACTTCGAGGATCGAGGATGTGGCCCCGAGTGGCGGGGCCGTAAGGGCATGGTTTCCAGGCTGGGTTTGCGTTGTGCAAGGCCTCCAGGCCCTTCGGCACGATGTCTCGGGGCCCCGTTTTTGAGGCGCCGGCGCTGGGCGGCTGAAATGGCGCAGAGGGAGAGCGCGAGGTGAGCGGCCTGTTCTGAAAAGGAGGGGGCATCCCACAAGACAGGGGGCCTTCTTTCAATGGAGGAACCACCCCGACCCCCACAATTTGCAACTGTCGTTTACTAGCGGCCCCGGGCGTTTACGGAGCAACTCTGTCATGTTCGGTTCCTTCCCTGAGTGCGTTTACTAAACGGTTTCGCCTGTCGGGGCGTTTATTGTGGGGATGCTTGTCTTGCTCCCTATATTATCAGAGGGGGGCGCCGTTCCGGAAGGGCCCAGAGGCTTCCAGGAGGACCTCTCAGAAAACAGGGGGCGTTTCTTCGTAGAAGCCCACCCCCCGCCTCCTCGGAGGGCCGCCCGCTCGCGCAGCCCCTGCAAACGCGCGCCGCCAAGCCCATCATGGAGACGGCAAGCATCACCGAGCGCGTCACACGACTCGCAAGGTGCCTATTCGCAAACGTCTGAGACATGAACGACGTGTAACCATAGTTGCCTCGACGTGGTGGATCGTGAATCCCCCCGCGGCGGATCCAGGCCTCTGCAAGTAGCTATTTTGCGATGAGTGGAACGGGCTTGTATAATGCATGGGGTCCATGGACCAAGGGCAAGCCCAGGCCACTTCGACCGTCGCGGAAAAGTGACGACGGCAGGTGTCTGGCAACCTTCGGGTTTCGAGCCCTTTTCCAGGCCCAAGGACACTCCACCAACACAGCGCGGGATGAAGAGCAGGCCCCAGCGAAGGGGTCGAGACCTCGCGTGGGGCCCACGTTGGGGGCAGAGTAACAGCGTCGGGGGTCTGGCGCTGCTGCCCCAGACGGGACGGGGCCTCTCTTTTGGGCAGGCGCCTCCCCGCACAGGCAGGCGCCGCGCCCTGCTCAACACGGACAGGAATTCATGCCGGCGTTGGTCCTTGGCGTTCCTTGTCCCGGGAAGGGGGGCGAGACGTCCTGGTGTCCACGTTGTGAGCAAAGTGGCGACGTCCGGGGTCTGGCACTGCTGTCCAAAGCCGCCAGGGCCCGCTCTCGGGCAAGCGCGTCTCGGTACAAACAGACGTCGAACCCGGTTCAACGTGGACAGGAATCGGCCTTTGTCCTTGCTCGTTTCTTCCCCACATCGGATCTCCCCCTCCGTCGGACTGATGCTTTCAGTCTCGGCGATTTGTAAGTTCGGCCTTTGGTGGCGATTTCGGGTCTGGGATCTTCAGAAAGCGAATCGGGATGGAAAGTGGACCCTTCAGCAGAAGGGTCGAGATCTCTGGTGCTCGCGGATAAAACGAACAAGCAAATATCTCTGAGGAGATCTGGGCCTCTTGTCATGACCATGGCCGAGAACCTCGGAGAACCTCTTGAGGCGCTTCAGAAAAAGCCCCGCCCTCAAGGATTCAGCGGATCGACGCCCAGCCCTCGCTGGAGGCCGGCGCGAGCAAAACATTAGAACGTGTTGATGGCGTCGTTGGCGGAGGCTAGCGAAAGTTCGGCGGCTGCAGGTGGAAGTTTCAGTGAATGCTTGTGCGCCCAACGCGTCTGGAGCCAGCCATGCGGAGCCAAGTGGGCTGCCTACTCCCCTCCTTTGGCCCTTCAGATCCCATTCTAAACTCCAGTCGAGCCCTGAACTCCTGAAGCTTACCTCCCCCTCTCTCCTACTCTCGCTTCCATCCTCCTACTCCTCCTCCTCCTCCTCCTCCTCCTCCTCCTCCTCCTCCTCCCCCTCCTCCTCTCCTCCTCTTTATCCTCTACCTCCTGGGGCTTCTCCTTCCCCCTCCTCCTCCTTCTCCTCAATCATCCTCCTCCTCTTCTTCCTCGTCCTTCTCCTCCTCCTCCTCGTCCCCAGCAGTTCCCTGAAGCACAAGCTCAGAGCGTCCTGCCTGCGACGACCTCGGACATGCTTCTGACGTCGTCACTGCCGGTTGCGAGGGCGCGTGCGACAATTGGTCAGACAGCGCAGCGAAGCACGAGCGGCACGATCATCGGCTGGCCATGCAAGACTTGGATCTTACCTGGCGCTTGGCACGCGCACGTCCCCACCGCCCATGAGCGCCAGTGCCTCCGAGGTGCTTGATGCGGACTCTGCGTCGGACGCGACAATTCGCGTCCTACACTCGTGCCGCTGCCACAGCCCCCCAGTCTTCCGCTCCCTCCGCCCGCCGCTTGTGAGCTCACACCGTCTGCTTGATTATTTTGCCGCAGCCGCATGCAACAGTCGTTGAGCACAGGACTTCTGGAAGCGACGGCCGAGTCCCCTCCTCACCATCCTTCCCCTCTTCACCACCATCTCCTTTCTCCTCACCCTCCTGTAGTACCTCCTACCGCCCCTTGACACTTCAATCATGTTTCGCCTCACCTTCTCTCTTCTCCTCCTCCTCCCACCTCTCTCATCTCTCCTCCTCCTCCTCCCTCCTCATGTTTCCTTGTTCTTCCTCCAACGGAAACGACGAGGGCGACGACGACGACGGTTGCGATGACGACGACGACGACGACGACGACGACGACGACGACGACGACGACGACGACGGCGGCTGCGGCGGTGGCGGCGACGACGGCGGCGGCGGCGTCGGTGGCGGCGACGACGGCGGCGGCAACGGCGGCGACGACGGCGGCAACGACGGCGGCGACGGCGGCGGCGACGACTGCGGCGACGACGGCGGCGACAACGGCGGCGACGACGGCGGCGACCAGGGTGGCGACAACGGCGGCGACGACGACGACGACGACGACGACGACGACTGTCGCGGCGGCGGCGCATCGTTGACGCAGCGCGAAAGTTCCAGAGGTCTCCTGCATTCTATGGGTCCCCATGGTATCCGGAGATCCCCCCAAAGGTGTCCTGAGAGGCCCGCCGCCACCTGTCGCATCGAGCGCAGCCTATTTCAGCCAAGCGGTCCACAGCGATAGCTCGGAGTAGATGGTTCGATAGGTGGACGCTTGAATTACCGATGTGTCGCAATCTACGCTTAAGTCGGGCCTGCCTCTATAGGAGGAATCTTCAAAAATAGTAGAAAAATAGTCTGGGGACGATTTTCTATCATTGTTTGACAAGTGTTCTGCACGTGTTGGGGGTATTGATAATTTCTCGTTCAAAATTAGCCTGTAGCGGGACATGTTCGACCTGAGGCTACCCGAAGGCCCTCCGAGGGCTTCCGAGGGCCCCCCCGACGGGCCTCGGAGACGCCCCGAGGACGCCGAGGGGCTGCGGCACCACGGCGCGGAGGCGGCCCAGGCCGGCTACACCCTTGCGGAGCTGTTGCTGCTCTCCCGCAGCACGAGCCCTCCGCAGCGCGCTCCCCTCGGCCAGGCAGGGTATGGCATCCTGTTCGGGCTTGTCATCATTGTCGTCATTATCGTCATTGTCGTCATCATTATCGTCATCATCATCATCAGCATCGTCATTACCATTGTTATCGTCATGTTCGTCATAATTATCTTGCACAGGGCGTCTAGAGCTCCGACCACTTTATTCCGCGTCGCACACACACACACACACACACACACACACACACACACACACACACGCGTCCCCAGCGCCAGAGTGGGACCCCCGCGCCGTGGCTCTCTGCTCCGAGCCCCCCCGCGCCCCCAGCGCCCCAGCGGGAGCCCCGCCCAGTGCCCCCTCCGCCGCGAACGCTTTATTCCGCGTCGCACACCCCCCCCCCGTCCCCCCGCCCCCAGCGCCAGAGTAGGACCCCGGCGCCGCGGCTCTCTGCCCCGAGCCCCCCCGTGCCCCCAGCGCCTCAGCGGGGGCCCCCCTCCGCCACGAACGCTTTATTCCGCGTCGCGACGCACACCACCTCCCCCACCTTCTTTCCCGCGTCCCCAGCGCCCCAGTGGGGGCTCCGCCCCGTGCCCCCTCCGCCCCGACCATTTTATTACGCGTCGTGACGCACGCCACCCCCTCTCCTCCCCCCCATCCCCAGCGCCCCAGTTGGACCCCCGCCCCGTGGCCCCCTGCCCCAAGCCCCGCCCAGCGCACCTCCGCCCCGACCATCTTTGTTCAGCGTCGCTACGCACACCACCTCCCCTCCTCCTCTCCGCGCCCCCAGCGCCCCGGTGGGACCTCCGCCCCGTGCCCCCCCTCCGAGCATTTTATTCCGCGTCGCGACGCACGCCACCTCCCCCCCCCCCCCTCCCCACATGGGACTTGGGCCACGTTGCTGGGCCCCGAGGGGCGATGTCTTGCCCCCTCTTCCCCCCTCCTCCTCCACCTCATCCTACTCCCCCATCCTTTTTGTGCAAGAGCCGTGTGCCACTTGTTGTCATCATAGTCGTCATTATCGTCCTCATTATCTTCATTATTGACGCGTACACTGTTCCCCCTTGCCCACCGCATCGCGCTTGCTGACGCGGTCTGCCTGCCTGCCTGGCGCTCTGGGCCCCGGACGCCGAGCCCACCGCCCGCGGGCCGCTTCGGCTGCTCAGTGCGGAAGTCTTCCGCCACTGAGCGTTCGCACTATTATCCCTCTCCGCGACCGCCCTGCCCTTTCGTTTCCCTCCTCCTTCATGCTGGCCACTTCGCTTTTTAGTGCCCCTGCATCGCTGCCACGCTGGAACGGATCGTCCCGCCTCGCTGCCGACGGGAAAAGGTTGGGCTCGCATTCTGCAGGGCCTCCCCCGACGTCTCGAAAAAATCGAGATGGCTTTGTTTCGCCGTTTTCGGCTTGTCGGGACCCTTACCGGGCCTCAGGACCGTCAAAAAATTATGCGGGATGGAAAACTGGTCCCGGGAAGTGGTCGAGAAGTCGGGGGCTCATGTTTCGAAAAGACCGAAACGCCAGATGTTTGAGACTAGGACCCAATAGCCCCACGCCGCCCAGGAGCTTGCGGATTCGCTATTCGCTACCGGGGGGCGATCGCCGATCTATCGGCGATGTATCGCCGATTCCAGGTCGACGTCTCTCCCCCATGGGCCGAATGACGTGCCTACTCACCTCTGCCCCCCCCTCCTGGACGCCTGAAATTGTTTCGGAGGTCGAGGATGTGGCCCCGAGTAACAGTCGAGTATAGCCAGGACCCCAGGTAAAGGGACCCGGTTAGTGGTAGGGCTTCGGAGCCCGTAAATGGGCCAGACTCACTAAAGCAGGTCTGCCGAATTCGTGCTTTTTCGGGTGACGGCAGTTCCGGCGGGCTCGGGTTTGTGAAACGGGGCGGGGGGAGGGGGTGGGGCGTCCCCCAGCACACATCATTAAACCAGGTCCCACCAAACGCAGTTCTGCCAACGCCCGAGTAACAGTCGGCGGCGAGCGAGAGGGGGAGGTAACAAGGGGCGGGCCTTCTCAGAAGGTTCGGAGGTCCCCCAGCCTTCTCAGAAGTTTTTTAAACCTTCCCCGAGGACACAAAAAACTTCTCCGAAGGCGCGAGGGCTTCTGAGAAGTCCCGCTGCCTTCTGGGAAGACCTTCTCCTTCTCACTTCCCCCCCTTGCTCGCCGCCTAAACAGGGCCCAGGGGTACTTGGCCTCCCGCGTGGGCTTGCCTTGTGCCAGGCCTCCCGGCCCCGGCGGCCCCAGGTCTCGGGGCCCCGTTTTTTGAGGCGCCGACGCCTGGGCGGCTGAAGCAGCGCAGCGGGAGGGCGCGGGGGGGAGCGGCCTGTTGTAAGAAGGGAGGGGGGCATCTCACAAGACTTGTGGAAGTCGGTTAATGAAGAGGAAGCATGCTGCCAAATAGTTTCCAGATGTTTACACATTTTTTATAAATGTAAAAACATGTTTTGAACATGTTCAGGACATTTTCCCGACATTTAAAACACAGTTTAAATTCAATGATCGGACTGTTAGGGTGTCCATTGCCGTGGCATCCACAACACAAGACAGGGGGGCCTTCTGTCAAGGGGGGAAGAGCCACCCCGACTCCCAGAATTTGCACTTTGGCGTACACCAATGGCCCTGGGCGTTTACGAAACAGCCCTGCCCTGTTCGACTCCTCCCGTGGGTGCATTTGCTAAACGGCTTCGCCTTATCATGAGGATGCTTGTTCTGTTCTCTACTTGAGGCGATCCAGGCTCGAGGCAGTCGAGTTGGAAAAGATAGGAGGCGTTCCAGACAGGGCTCCGCCTTGGAGGGTCCGAGGAGTTATCATCTCTTCCTCGGCGGAGGGCGGCGGAAGGGCGGCGGAAGCCCGCGGAGGTAAAACGAGGCCGCCTCCGCTGGCGGAAGCCAGCTGAAGTAAAGATGCGCCACCAATAGATGGCAACATGTTTGGGTGCAGGGTTCCCTGCACCGGCCATATCGATACCGCGGCTGGTCCTGGAGAGCTCCCGTCGCCCCGGCTGGATTATCCTCGAGGTGTTCGTCAGGATGCACCCCAGGAGGGGTCCCTGGAGCAGCGGAATCAGTGTTCGTTTGTTCCCCCAGCTTGAGACGGCCAGGGGTCTAGGATCGAGGCGATCGAGGTCCGAGGCGGTCAAGGATCGAGGTGTTCGAAGATCCAGCTCGGGGGGGTCCTCTGGAAGAGTTCCAGAGAGCTCCGCACCCCCGTGCTTAGAGACCTTTCTAGAATCACCGAACTATCTATAAAAAAGGGTTCTCTCGGTAGAGCAGTTGCGATAGCTCGGCAGTTCAAGAATCGATGTAGAGTCGGCCCGGATTAGTAGGTCGACCCTGCCAGCTCAAGGGTACCCTTGTGTCTTGTTCCTCGCGACATGTGCCTTCTTGCACTCCTGTGGCGACGTGGCCCTCGGAAGGGTCTTGTGTCCTCTCGCGTGTCCTGTCCAATCAAGGCCGATTGTCTCGAACTGTCCGCTCCGAACTGTCGCCGTGGAAGCTCCTGCAGACATCTGGAGGCATCCTGAGGCGCCGTCATCGTCGAGGTTCGGGGATCGGGGTGCGGGGTCCGAGCGTGTTTTGTTAGCTTTTCTGGGCCTCCAGCCGCCAATGTTTGACGGCTCCCGACCCAGCCAGGCGATTGGCCCCCAGAGCGCAGGATCACAATGAAAGCTGAGAGACATAGAGTGGAAAGGTTTGAGGCCGCGCAGAGGCAGCCCCCAGTGGTAGACCTCAGTCATCAGCCCCCCCAGGGTAGTCCACGGTGGTCTCAACATCTGGCAGGAGAGACTACCGCGGACTGCGTGGGGAAGCTGAGGCCAGCCAGGACGGCCTCCAGGGGCTGTCTGTGCGCGCAACCCCACGCCTTGCCAACATGGGCGCAGCAATGCTGGAGTCACACTCGCATCGGCGAAGAAGGAGGGCATGGCGAGACTTCCAGGGCTCATTTCGATTCCTCCGATTCGATTCGATTCGATTTCGATGGCCTCCGATTCCGATTCGATTCGACGTGGGATTTTGATTTGGGTCCCGACTTCTTATTGGAGTCATACTAGCCTGCCGATTTCCGCCGATCCGATTCATGTCGATTGACGATCCGACTTCTCGATTCGATTCCGGGCACTCCTGGACGCAAAGTACAGTCGGCCCGGATTATTAGGTCGACCTTGCCAGCTCAAGGGTACCCTTGTGTCTTGTGCCTCGCGACACGTGCCTTCTTACACTCCAATGGCGATGCAGCCTTCGGAAGGCTCTTGTGTCCTCTCGCGTGTCCTGTCCAATCGAGTCCGACTGTAAGCGTAGCGATCACGTCGGACGGCTCTGGCCTCGCGACGAGCACAGTCTCCTGCCACCCCTCGTTACCGAGGTGCTCGCGGCAAATCCGGCACCGTGCCAGTGAGGCACTCTCTGTGTGGCGGCCCGTCGAGCACCGCGACAATTCATAAGTCGGGCGTGTCCCTCCACACACTGTTCATTGCTAATCCTTCGGAAGGTCTCTGATTCTTGGAGGGCCAAGATCCTTTCATTTCTAAGTGTTCTATCCTGGGCCTCTTCCTGGCCACTAGGGGGCCAGGAACAATTAGAAACGAGCACAATTAGAAGTGAGCACGATTAGAAATGAACGACGTGCACATATCCAAAAATAGTCGAAACATAGTCTGCGGACGATGTTTGGAGTATTGTTGAGCATGTTTGGCGGATTGCTTGACTATTGCTTAGCTTTCGTACCAAATCAGACTGTAGGAGGACATGCCCGACCTAAAGCGACAAGTCTCGTCTCCATTTCTTGATCAGCTCTACTTCGGCGGTTGCCAGAGGTGCCCCTGGCCCAAGGTGCTCCCAACTTTTCGCTCCGCGTTTGCCCGCCTGGGGCCCTCTGGGCCTCATGAGGGGTTCTCTGGAAGCCGTGGGGGCCGCATTGGAAATCCTGGGGGCACCTTGGGCCAGAGACAGGGGCACTTCTAGCAACACCCGACTCATGGGGTTGCTTCGGGCCGCCTTGGCATTGTTTGGGGCTCCCGTGGGGCAGTGTTAGGGGCCTTCTTGGGTCGTCATGGGAGGAGGAGGAGGAGGAGGAGGAGGAGGAGGAGGAGGAGGAGGAGACGGGGCACCGACCCCCTGTGGCGCCTGAAATAGCGGGAAATAGGAGGAGGAGGAGGAGGAGGAGCCCTCATAAGCCGTCGTCAGGCCCTCTTGACCGCCTGGTGGGTCTCCCGGGGCCGCCTCTTGAGGTCCGCTTGGACCGTCATGGGCGGTCTTGGGAGCCCCTCGCTCTCTTGGGGCCGTCCAGGGGGGAGGAGGAGGAGGAGGAGGAGGAGGAGGAGGAGGAGGAGGAGGAGGAGGAGGAGGAGGAGGAGGAGGAGGAGGAAAAGGGAGGAGGAGGAGGAGGAGGAGGAGGGCGCTCGCAGTTGGGCTCCTACGGCATTCGAAGACTGCAGGTGGACCGATATCAGACCGAAGAGCGTGGAGAGCGACAAACATGGAAGACCGGATCCAAGGATCAATGCCTTGGGCCTCGAGGGACTCCCGGGGGACGTCTTGAGGCCTCGTTGGGACATCGCGGAGGCATCTTGGGAGTTGACGGGCGCGTCATGGGGGACGTCGGGTGCGCCTTGGGGCAATGGATTCGGCCATATCGGCGGCCATGGTGGCCCTCCGTGGCCGTCGTGCGAGGTGTCGGGGCGCCCGGAAACCTTCGGAAGGGGGGAGGGACAGTGCACGCGCCTGAGGGCGACGAGGAGGGGGGGGGGGGCCTAGAAGGCTGACAGAAACCCTGCCAGGCAGCACCTGGAATCCTGCGATGCCTCAGCGTGCCAGGGGGCACGATGACGCATCGTGCTCGTGGCCGGCTGCATCGGTCCCCTGTCGGCTCGATGTTGAGCTGCATTGTCAATGCTTCGCTCTCCTGGGGCTTTGCTGTGTTCCTGCTCGTCAACATTTGACACGTGTGCGGAGCTACACTGTCAATGCCGCGCTCTCTCGCAGCTTTGCCGTGCTCCTGCTCGCAACGCACACCGCCAGAGGCGGCGGAGAGCTTGGGAGGCCCACCTGCCAAAAAAGCATCTCGGAGATGAGCGCTGCGCCAGCGAAAGTGTGGTACACCTTGGGCGATGCTTAAGAAAACCTAAGTTTTCGTCCAGAGTCTCGATTATTCTTAACTTTCAATGTAAATCCCAAGATTTTGATAGAAGTTCTGGGTTTTATTCAAGTTCTGAGACTGTGAATTTCTTAACCCATGATTTCTTAAGCATTTCGCAGGGTGTACAGCCGAGGCGTTGGAACAAAAAGCTGCCTGGGGCTCGGGAGGGGGGCTCCGGCCTTCGGGCCGTGCCTCCGGGCTGGGTCGGGAAGAGCCCGCTCGTGGCAGGGGGGCTCGCCGCGGCCAGAAGAAGGAGACCCGCAGGCCCTTCTGCAGCGCGCCTCGTGGCAGCACGACGGTTGTCAGGAGGGGAAAAAACACACAGACACAATTCATCGTCGATTCCCCAGAAAATATGGGAAAATATGGGAATTGGGCGGGAAGACAAAAACCCAGAAAACATGGGAAAATATGGGGCATATTTTTATTTGTGTGTATTTATTTGTGTGTCCCAGGGCTCCTTCAGGTTGAGGCGCGCTCGCTGTGCCGTCCCGTCCTCTCGATGCCCCCGGGGGGGGGGTCGTGCCGCGCGTCGGCGAGCGGGCCTCGCCGGGCCCGGCCGTGGCGCCGGTCCGAGCGGGGGGCACCGAGGCGCCCTCGCCTTCAGCATCCTGGCGCGCGTGTTCGAGGAGACCGCTCTTCTCTTCGCTTGGGTCCCAGGGATGTGTACATGTCTGTATAATATGTCTACATGTCGGGGCGAGGGGGCCGAACGGTCATCAATTTTCCCTGGGTGCGTGGCTACCGTGGATTTCCGCGGCTCGGATTATGCTTTTTGTCATTACGCTGTTGTTACGTTGATGTTGATGGCGGTGGTGGTGGTGATGATGATGGTGGTGGTGGTGTTGTTGTTGCTGTCGTCGTCCTCGCCTGCGACCCACCCCGCGACCCACCCGCATTGCTTTAACGAACATTTGGGACCTGCGGCGGGCTCGCTGTATGATCTGTGAAAGTGCGCCCGCGGCGGGCTTCTTCAGAGCTCGCAGGCTGCCGACGATCCGGCCGCCGCTTCACACATGGTGTGTACACCCTTCTTGGTGTTTGTTATCTTGGTTTGTTTTGCACAAAAAAGTAACCTCCAGATCCGTGGCCCCGGGGGCGTCCTGGACGCCACTGCAGAAGGTCCCCCCGGCTTTCTGGGCTCCTGGAAGCCCCTGCTGGGCCTAAGCAACGGGCCCAAGTCAGTCAGGAGGGCGGCCGAACGGCCCTGCGAGAGCCCCAAGAGGCCCCAGACACACACATACACACGCACACAAGACGCTCGAGGACGACCCAAAGAAGACGCCCAAGAGGCCTCCGAAACGCAAACAAAGATTGATTCCCAGCAAGTTTTGCACGATTTGGGGAATGCTCTGCTCTTCTGAATTCCGGGCGTTCGAGACCGCCCAGGAGGCCAGAAAATCATTAGAAAACTACCCAAACGAGCTTCGAGGCAGTCCAAGAGAGCCCCCAGACGGCCCAACAGGTCCCCAAGATCGCCCGAAGAGAGCCCCATGTCGGCCAAAGATGGCCCCAAGATGCCCCCCAAAGCATTCCAAGTCGTGACCTGGTCGGTCAGGGAGACCATGGTTGGAAGCAGGATGGCCCGAAAAAGCTTCCAGAGGCCCACAGAAGAAACCCAGGAGGCCCCCAGAAGGCCCCAAGAAGCCATTAACAACTGTTGTGAGGCCTCCAAGAGGCTCGCCAAGGAGGAGCCCCTGCAAAAAGAGCTGAAGATGGCGACAAGTTCGCAGGGTAGGGCGAGAAAAAAGAAGACGCAGAGGAAGCATGAGGGAAGTATAGTAGATAATGTTATTTCAACGACGGGCAACAGACACAAAGAGCCGTTTCAACGCCTCCAAGACGGCTCAAGACAGCCTACAGTTGTTGCCAAGGGGCCCCCTACATTGGCCGAGGGGGCAAGGCAGGCATCAGTTCTACTGTCAGGGTGTTTCAATGCTTTTGGGGATCTTGCATGTCCGCTGCTCAGAGCGCTGGGGTCGGCCCAACAAGTTCCCACAATTCCTTCGAGGTAACCCTAAGGGCTTTTTAGGAGGACCCCACGAGGCGACCGAGGCACCCCAGGAGGGCACCGAGACGCCCCCATGGGGCCCCTGGGGGAGTTCAAGACAGTCCAAGAGGGCCCCGACACGGCCCAAGTCAGATGGCCCTGCGCGGCCTCAGGCGCCTCCAGACGGCCCAGAGGAGCCCAAGAGGGCCCCAAGACCGCCCAAGAGGCCCCCAAGACGCCCACAATTGGGGCCCAGCTGATCTGGAAGACAGCCCAGTAGGCCCCCAATCATCACCACGCGGGAGGCGTCTTAGCTGATTACTCACAAAGGGGTTCCTGATGTGGTCGATGTTGGGGGGAGGGCACGGGCAAAACGCTGCCGCCCTCGGCCCCAATCCCGAGGTGCGTCCAGACGAGAATTGTCGTAGGTGAATCGGCCGTGGCCACGAGGCCTCCCCAGGGGGCTCAGCCAGCCAGAAGTGTGAGCACCCCTCGATGGTGTATCCGCGGTGTTCTTCTCCCTCCTCCTGCTCCCCCCATCCCCCTCCTCATCCTCCTCGTGCCCTGCCCCCCCTCCTCGCCCCGCCTCCGCCGGCCTGTCCCTCCAAATGTCCAAATGTCCAAATGTCCAGAAGTCCCGCGGCGCACCTGCCACTCGAAAACGTTGTTCGTTTCTTTCCCGTGCCCCCCAACATTCGTTCTCATTTTTTCTAGAATCCGTTTTCCCCCCCCTGACCACATCCGACATCTCTTCATTGAGTCAGTTTTCTTCATCCACCATTCCTCTTCCATATTCACTGATCGTATGTAGTTTCCTCCCTTCCCTCCTTCCTCCTGCATCTTCCCTCCCTTGCGTCTTGCCCTGTGTCTCCTACCTTATCCCTCTTGTCCCCGGGGTCAGCCTTCGCTCCTCTCTGATCTCCCCTTCATCCCTCATCCATCCTCCGCCCTCCCACCCCCAATTCCAATCCTTCCCACTCGGCGTCCTCTCTCCTCCATCTACCCTCCTCTTCCCCCTCCATAGCAGAATAGTTGGACAAATCATGCCACCCAATGAGGAGCAACACTGCCACAGGAGAGGCCGGAGGAGGTCAGAACGACCAGGAGGAGGTTGATCTCGTGGCTTGCTTCGCTGTCCGTTGTCGGAACAGCCCTCTTGGAGGGCCGCGGACTTCATCTTCTTACTTGTTGGTGTTTTCTCTGTCTTCTCGTTTCGGAACATACTCCTTCCCTTGTCCGCCCTTCTCTTGCGGGCCAGCGCCGCTCCTCCTCCCCCTCTTCCGTCTCCGTCTCACGAGCGCCTCCTCCCTTCACCGTCCTTCTTCCCTATTCCCATCTCCTTATTCGGCTTCCGCCCGTCCCTGCCCCACTCCACTCTGCTCGTCCTCCCTCTGTTCTGCCTCCTGGCTCCACCCTCATCCATACATATATATATATATATGTTTGTGCATATACATTTATGTATGTTTCGCTCGGTTCCGTCTCCTGTTTGTTATTGTTGCCCCGTCGTCCATACCTCTTGATACATTCGCAAGGGATGGGGTAGAACGCGTGAAGGCAGCCTTCATGCCTTCTACCCCCTCCCTTGCGAATGGATCAGGATCACGGACCAGGCGAAACAAAAGGGAAGAAGTCAAATGGCGCAGGTTATTGCCTTAGAGACTCGAAGCATACAGCGCGTTCGAATGACCAGGCGCGTGGTGATCAAGCAGAACTTGAGCGCGCACGATGTTTCCAGTGAAGCGATATCGGTACATGCACACATACACACATATGTGCGCACACATATGCAGCAGCGTGGGTATCAACATACACGTATCTATACACACATACATCGATAAATGACTTCGGCCCATCCCGCCACCGTGCCTGGGTTGTGGGTCTGAGGCCTCTTGGACGTTCGTTGGGATCTCCTGGAGGCAATTTTGGAGTCTCCGTGGGGCTGGTGTGCGGCCTTATGGGGGGGGGACCTCTGTTGGGCCTCTGGGAGACCTTTTGGGAGCCTCCAGGGGCCCCTTTGGAACTCTTGGGGCCTCCTAGGCGCTCCTTGGGCCGGAAGTCTCGGATTTTCGGTCCGGGTTCCACCTCTTGGGCCCCTCTCGGGGCCGTCTTGGGGCTCTTTTAGCGAGTATTGGGCGCCTATCGGGCCTTTGGGGCAGTCTTGGGGCCATCTGGGGGGCATGTGGGGCCGTCTTGGGGCGATCTTGGGGGCCTCTTGGGACGTCGTGAAGCGTCGGAAGCTAGCGAAAGTGAAGAGCCCGAAAAGAACATAGGAAAAATCAATGGTTTTGTCCTTTCGGGGCCCTCTTGGGAAGGCTCTGAGGCCTTTTTTGTGACGTCTCGAAGGCTTCCCGGGCCGTCTTGAGGCCATCCTGGGGCGTCTTGGAAAGCTCTTGGGCCGTCTCGGAGGCCTCTCGGGGGCCTGCTGGGGGCTCTTGGGGCCCTCTTCGCCCGTTCAGGGGCCCTGATGGGCGGGGCCGCAGCCCCAGAGGCCCAGGCGACACACCACGGCAGCGCCCCTGGCAACGCCCAAGAGCGACTGGAAAACGGGGGGTCCGGGCTTTGAACCTCAAACACCCTCTGCCTCTCAGGGTTGCATGAGCCTTGGGGCACTTCCCTGCGTGTTGAAGGCACGGTGGCGTATGTGTGTATATATATATATATATATATATATATATATATATATATACCCCGGGGTACAGGGTGGGGGCCTCGGGGGCCGGCGCCTCGACGGGGCATGGGGTCCACGGCTCGCCGGAGCCGTTCGGGAGGAGGCCCGGGCAGCCCTGGGACGGCCACCGGTCGCCGACAGATGGCCCCAAGACGCCCGAGATGCCTCTCAGAGAGCCGTACACGCCGCCAAGACGTTCCCACGGCCCCAACCGCCCAAAATCATTTGTTTCCTTTGCAGAAGCGTATTTTGTTTAGCATATCCGATTGTTTGGCTTTCGCGGCGCTGACGACGACCCCAGAGGCCCCCAGAATTGTCCCAAGACGGCCAGGCGCCCGCGAGTAGGCCGGGGGCGGGCCCAGAACCACGGCCCCGGCGTCTTATGGGGGGGGCAGAAGCCACACGAGCGCTTTCGTGGCATTCATAGTGGCCCCGCGGGCGCACAGGCAGCCCAAAAATTGATACGACTGTCGACCGAATCGGCCCAGCACACCCCGAGAGCGCCGAAGATGTCTTGTGAACGGCCCCTGAAGGCTTCAGGCTGCGCCAGGACGGCCTCGGGCAGGCTTCAGTGTGCACCCGAGGGCCCAGACGAGCGCTCGGGGAGCCACAAATCGTTGATTTCTCTGGTGCGTTTTCAATGTTTTGGCGATCCTCCATTTGTCGAATTCCTGACAATCGCGGACGGCCCAAAAGGCCAACAAGACCGCCCCAAGACGGACCACGAGGCCCCCAGGAGAGCCCCCGGACGACCCAACAGCGCCCAGGGGCGCCCAAGACGGCCCAAGAGGGCCCAAAGACGGCCCCAAGAAGTGCTCACGAGGGGGAACAGGAACCGAAAATTCGAGCCTTCGTCCCAAGAGGCCTCCACGAGGCCCCAAAATGGTCCGGAGAGTTTTCCGCGAGGCTTGAAGAGGACCCCAAGAGGCCCCCACGAGGCCCCCGCCGCGATGCTTCAAGAAGAGCCAAGAGCCCCTCAAGACGCCCCAAGAGAACTCCTTCCTAGCCTTTGGCTCAAGTGCTACTATTACTGCTACGACCACGACGATTACTACTACTACTACTACTACTACTACTACTACTACGACTACTACTACTACTATTTCTACTTCGACTTCGACTTCTACTTCTACGACTACTATTATTACTACTACTACTACTACTACTACTACTACTATTACTACTACTACTACTACTACTACTACTACTACTACTACTACTACTACTACTACTACTACTACTACTACTACTACTACTACTACTACTACTACTACTACTACTACTACTACTACTACTACTACTACTACTACTACTACTACTACTACTACTACTACTACTACTACTACTACTACTACTACTACTACTACTACTACTACTACTACTACTACCTACTACGACTACTACTACTACTACCCACTACTACTACTACTACTACTACTACTACTACTACTACTACTACTACTACTACTACTACTACTACTACTACTACTACTACTATCTACTACTACTACTATCTACTACTACTACTACTACTACTACTACTACTACTACTACTACTA